TTTCCTTTCCTTTCCTTTCCTTTCCTTTCCTTTCCTTTCCTTTCCTTCCCTTCCCTTCCCTTCCCTTCCCTTCCCTTTCCTTTCCTTTCCTTTCCTTTCCTTTCCTTTCCTTCCCTCCCCTCTCTTCTCCTCTCTTCTCCTTTCCCCTCCTCCCCCCTCTCCTGGTGACATTGTTGGCCCCTTTCCAGGGCTGAGGGGAGCCGGCAGGGGCCCTTCCTGGAAGCCCACCTGCAAAGGCTTGCTGGGAAGGGGCCTGCTCTCCCTCAGGCTCCCACCCGCCCGCAGCCGTTTCCTGGAAGCAGTCACTGGGTATTCTGTTCCTTGTCAGCGCGAGCCTGCAAATAAAGCAGACACTGTGCTCCTTGTCCTTAGGGAGCCCAGCTCCATCACCCCACACCTGGCAAGACAGCGGGCGGGTAGCTGGGCCATGGGGAGCAGTGTGAGGCGAGGCAGGGGCTGGACCCATAAACAAGCACAGGCGCCAAGTACAGGAGGCTCAACCCCCATCCTCTGTGCGACACCTCTGAGATGAACGCATGCCAAATCCCCAAACCAGACATAGATGCAAGAAGGAAGTCCCCAAGGAAGGGACACCATGCAGATCCCAGGGAGCAAGTCCATGGAGACGGCAGCCCTGGGACCCTGGCTTTGCCGAAATCTTTTACCTGAATGGGAAGTCCCAGGGATCTGGTGTCACATGAGAAAGGCATCACAGTGAGGGAAAGAGAGGGATTGGTAAAACCCTTCACTTTGAGCCAGGTAAAGAGGTAAAGCAGAGCTATGGAAAGCCAGAGTCGGGGCCTTGTGAGCACTCTGGGAGGAGAGATTAAATGATAAAACCAGGCCTCCAGTCTTTCTGTGGGGAGAAATTAAAGAAAGGATAGTGAGAAGCCTAAGAGCAGGCAAACCTCCCTGGGCATGCTCAGAGCACTTGACCAAGTGTAGAGCTAGCACTGAAGGTACTCCATCAGGTTTCCAGGCTATAGACCAGGGCCAGGTAATAGATGGAAGAAGATTCCCAGAGGAACCATGGGGTACCGTGCTGAGTAGAAAGGGCCACAGAAGACTCAAGAGTGACTGGTAGGGTTATGGTAACTGTGTTAGACTCTGGAGTCCGTGCATCTGAAGAAAAATAGACTTAAAACATGACTCTAAGCCAGAACTCTCATGAGTGGAGGGCTTGGGGTAGTGCTGTGAGGGATGGGGCCTGGGGGAACAGTGGGGCCCCATGAAACGCTGGGAAAGACTGGTTTATTCAGGTGGCATTCAGGTTGTACGCGTGCGTGGCAGAGCCCATGGGACTCAGGGAGGTGTACACAGAGCCCTCAACAAGCTCCTCATTGGCTACTGGTGACTTCACTGCTGTGTCAACACCACCATGTCTGCAGCT